AACTTTTCCTATCTTTATATCAAAAAAATGCGCTTTAACCAGCAGTAGTAACTTACTACTACCTGGGCTCAGCCTAGATTTCCAGTTTAATGGGGCAGCTGCCTGGAACCAGTCTTGACAGAGAGGCCTCTCTTACCTATTGATTGCTTCCAGACCAGTAGTGTATCCTCTGAGTTGTGCATCTGCTTGGCCAGCCCTGCCTCACATGCCTGACTTTGCATAAAGTTCATAGAAAAGTGGATTATATTCACTTCTTTTATAATCTTTGCTTCTCAAGGATTTTGATATGAAGTCCATTTAAGTGTAGGAAGCAGAGAGGAAGTTCACTTGCCCAATCCGAGCATTTGAATGTAGTAGTGAGACAAAATCAGATAACTACTTTGGTTTTCTCTGGAAGTGATGGTAATGGGGTGGTGCTGGCCACCAACAACATTTGCTTTGGTGCTTAGCTCACTGACAGAATGTAGAAGATGCTCAACAAACATTTGTTGGATGAATGAGTGAATGGTCATTTCAAAGTAGTTTAGATTTTTTGGCACTGCTTTTTCTGCATCCCTTTCTTAGCTCCTGGCCTCTTAGGATGGCCACCCCAGGGGCCCTGCACAGGAGGAGAAGGATGAGAAGTCAATCACATGCATATGTACAGCCTTTGACTATCCCTAGTCTTTCTTTGAGCCATCCAACATGATGTAGCAGGGTGAGGAAAAGAACAAAACAAATAAGGATTTTGTAGTCATGCAGATCTGTGCCTAAATTCTAACTTTGCTACTTACCAATATTTTACCCAGGTTGTGTTACTTAGCCTATTTTAAGCTGTTCTGATTCATTTCAAATGTATAATTTACTCAATGCCTGGGAGGATTTTTATAAAATAAATTACTTTATACAGTATGCATTTGATTTCAACAACAATGATAAAAGTTTCCATATTTTGAGTATCACCTACTTGCCTGGGTCAGGGCTGGAGGGCATACAAACATTTGGAGGAACAGAGATTTGACTTTAAGTTATCTGACTTTTGAGCTCAGACTTTTTTTTCCCCACTCTTTAATAAATGTTATTTTTGCCCTTGCCCCAAATAAATGCATATAACTCAATTCTCCTTTCCTAATTAATTTCTGTTTACTCTATTCTATACAATATTTGCCCCGTTACTCATAATAAGTCCTAATAAGCTCACCAGTTCTACTCATTCTGCTCACTTATTCAGATTCTGCCTGCAAACTGCATATTAGTAGTGCTTTTAATTATTATTGGATTTCATATTTTTAATATATTTGTTCTGTATTACATTAGGTCAGGGACTGTAATACTGAAGACAAGGGGCTATTAGAGCCACTGAAATGACTCAGCCTTTCTATAATCCAACCCAAGGCAGAAAACAAGATACTGCCTTCCAGGCATGTGAAACACCACAGTGTCTCCTCTGTCATGAATGGAGTCAGAGACTCTTCTGGCTATGTGTCTACATGTGATGTCAGTGGGAATTTTGAATATTAAGGGTGGAGATGCCTAACTTGGATGATATGACTTTGCAGCTATTAGCAGAAGCTGGAAATGCTTATAACCACGGCTGAGTCAGAAGGGTATGAACCTTGGACTTATTCTGACAGTTGCCTTTAATTAAATGAGTCTGGCCCCATAAGATTTTGGCAAGTCAGCTATTGAGAAAGTACCAGTTCTTTGGAACTCTTCTAACTTTCCCAAATTTTGTTTTTATACAGCATCCTGGATTTTATTTTTGTTTTCCATTTTCAGATTTACAATCGCTTGGATACAAATTGTTGTGGATTCAGACCACGCAAAGAAGATGCCTGTGTACAGAATGGACGGAAGCCAAAATGTGACGACCAAGATTCTGTGGCTCTAGCACATGTTATCCAGCAAAAGCATGACCCAAGGCACTTGGTCTTTGTAGACAATAAGGGTTTTTTTGACAGAAGTGAAGATAATTTGAACTTCAAATTATTAGAAGGCATCAAAGAGTAAGTTTTATAATGTAGTAGCATCTGCAGGACATTATATTTATGTTAAAAAAGTAGTAAGGGTTTTCTTTGTTTGTTTTGTTTCTTGAGGGTTGATGAAGATAATTTATTACCAGGTACATGGTAGGAGACAGGGACCATACCCAAATCTGACTCCTTGAGTGAGATTTTGAGGTATAGTTTTTGTAGAGTTCTAGGAAGGAAGCTATACATATTCATGTAAATTC